ACACAACTTGTCGAGATACAAGTCAATAAAGGAGCAATAAAACAATACAAAAGTATTAAAGTGTAACTGACAAATTAAAAAAAAATTGTAGCTTGCTAGGCTAGGCCTAGTGATAAATTAGTAATACCTACTTATATTTACAATCTTAAACGGGACCTAAGATGGCGGGAAGGTAACATGACATTAACCACAGCTACAACAATCTCCACCAAACATCACATTAACCACAGCTACAACAATCTCCACCAACCATCACATTAACCACAGCTACAACAATCTCCACCAACCATCACATTAACCACAGCTACAACAATCTCCACCAACCATCACATTAACCACAGCTACAACAATCTTCACCAACCATCACATTAACCACAGCTACAACAATCTTCAGGACACATCACATAACCACAGCTACAACAATCTCCACCAACCATCACATTAACCACAGCTACAACAATCTCCACCAACCATCACATTAACCAAAGCTACAACAATCTCCACCAACCATCACATTAACCACAGCTACAACAATCTCCACCAACCATCACATTAACCACAGCTACAACAATCTTCAGGACACATCACATTAACCACAGCTACAACAATCTCCACCAACCATCACATTAACCAAAGCTACAACAATCTCCACCAACCATCACATTAACCAAAGCTACAACAATCTCCACCAACCATCACATTAACCACAGCTACAACAATCTCCACCAACCATCACATTAACCACAGCTACAACAATCTTCAGGACACATCACATTAACCACAGCTACAACAATCTCCACCAACCATCACATTAACCAAAGCTACAACAATCTCCACCAACCATCACATTAACCACAGCTACAACAATCTTCAGGACACATCACATTAACCACAGCTACAACAATCTCCACCAACCATCACATTAACCAAAGCTACAACAATCTCCACCAACCATCACATTAACCAAAGCTACAACAATCTCCACCAAACATCACATTAACCAAAGCTACAACAATCTCCACCAAACATCACATAACCGTTCACACACACACACACAGAAGGACGACACACACAAGCAATGATGCTGGTGATCATTTATGCAATGATGCAGCATCATTTAAGACAAAAAAAACAAGTTACAAACAAATATTCCCACAAACAACTGTAGTGCCATAAGTCAAGACTTGTTTGTGTGCGCGCGCGTGTGCATACATGCGCGGGTGTACATGTGTGTGTTTACTTATGTGTATGTATGCTTATGTGTAAGCGTGTGTTCAGTTTCTAGCGAGTGCCTGCGCTGAATCTCAAGGTCTCCAGAGAAAACATTTAAAATATATGGGTCACTGACCCTCATGACTCCATAACCCCTCCCCTTTCCCCTCTCCCCCCCCCTAACCATCAAACCCTCCCCCCCCCCCCGGTCCTTCCCCTCTTCCCACTAACCACCACACCCATCGATCCGTCCATGTGGGCAGTCAGAAGCCGGGACGACCGACAAACCACTTGTTGCATATAGCCATCTGTTGCTCCAGCCTCACCCCCCCTTCCTCCTCCACCACTACACCCTGAGCACCCCATGTGGTCCCTTCCCTGAGCACCCCATGTGGTCCCTCCCCTGAGCACCCCATGTGGTCCCTCCCCTGAGCACCCCATGTGGTCCCTCCCCTGAGCACCCCATGTGGTAGCTCCTCTCTCACACCCTCACCAACTACTACTACAGTGAGGCTACTTCATACCAACCACAACTTTTCCCCATACTCCAACAGTAGCACAGTTTACTATCACTGTTGGAGTACCACCACCACCACCACCACCGTTAAGACTACTGAGCCTACAACCACAGCTACCATTACTGTAAGGTAATGGTATTAATTAAGGTAATTAGGTAAGGTAAGGTACAAGGTATTAGGTATTAATTAAGGTAATTAGGTAAGGTAAGGTACAAGGTATTAATTACGGCGAATAACTTACAAATCATTAAGTATTTGAGAATAGTTAACCTAGATCTTAGTTCTGAAGAGCTGTCATCCCTCTCCATGAAACATGAATCTAACTGGGAAGCAGAAAACCCCCCTAGTCTGTGCCTAGACAAGCACAAGCACAAGAAACCTAATCCATCGTAAATACTAAATCTCTCTCTCACACACACACACACACACACACACACACACACACACACACACACACACACACACACACACACACACACACACACACACACAGAAGACAGAAGAGCTCGGGGAGACATGATCACCACATACTAAATTCTCAGGGGAATTGACAGGTTAGACAAGGATGGACTATTTAACACGGGTTGTACACGTACAAGAGGACACAGGTGGAAACTGAGTACCCAAATGAGCCACAGAGACATTAGAAATAACTTTATTCAGTGTCAGAGTAGTTAGTAAATGGAATGCACTAGGAAGTGATGTGATGGAGGCTGACTCCATACACACCTTCACATGTAGATATGATGGAGCTTGAGAAGCTCAGGAATGTGTTGTGACGATAATCTCTTTCAAGAGATTGAGCCTGCTCTTCCCTACAAAGTACGTCAATATAAAAGATAATATAGAAGATACGTCCAGCAAGTATCGCCAAACGTTTTGCCCAGAGAGCAAATCGTACCCAGCACACAGTGACACCTGCTAGCTACCACCGCCGTAACCAGCAAACTGCTCGTCCTTTGCCTGCCTGTCGCTGATTGGCTGGTGTCCCGTCGCACCTGCCCTCCGCCCTCCACCACAAGTTGATGTCTGGGCTGTAGTGCTCCAGTATCGTCAGAATATCTCAGTGCTCCTTGCAGTTGACATCTCTCGCTGGTAGACTAAGCCTTGGCTTTCGTGTACTAAGGGAGGTGGCAGCTCGAAGCCAATATTCCAGCACCACTAATATTTATTTTGCTATCACTGTAACTCACTTATCTTAGCGTAACTTTTCATTTGCCAGTGATTATTCATATTATTTTGTTTGTTGACTTGTCTTTCATATTTTATGTGCTTAACTTTATTCATGTCTTGTTTTTCTAAAGTAATTAAAATTTCATTGTTAATTTACTTGTGTTTTGTGTGTCTTCCCATTACCTTACCACAGACGAAAGCTCCAGCTTTTCTCTTTTTTTCCTATAATGTGACGAGGCCCTGCCCCTAGCTTTTGAAACAGCCGAACACCAACGCTTTACCATCACAGTGTATACCAGTAGATTAACGGTTAAGAGGCGGGACCAAAGAGCCAAAGTTCAACCCCCACAACCACATCTAGGTGAGTACTCGCAAAGAATGTTTTGAAACCCTTTCCCAAGCAGGACGAGAGCGAACATATCAACTTAGCCAGCTCAAGTTTACAGTGTGTGTGTGTACCCGAGTTTACCATGTGATAAACTAAACACAGCTTGAGAAGTTATCTTGCCATGGGGTGATTTTTTTATGGGATGGTGAGAGATGGGGGGGAGGGGGGAGAAAAGGGAGGGGGTTATGGAGAGAGAGAGAGAGAGAGAGAGAGAGAGAGAGAGAGAGAGAGAGAGAGAGAGAGGGGGGGGGGAGAGTGTGTGGGGAGTGAAGTTATTCTTCACGTATCTATGACGTCACACACTCGTAACTGACAGTATTATCACGGTAGGCTTAGGCCTAAGCACTTATGTAAATATTTATCAAATTTATCTCCTCTGTACGAGTTGCTACCCATTACCACCTCTGGTGCCAATGTGGGGACCCATAGCCTCGGAGAAGAAAATAAAAAGTATTCAGAGGAGACCTTGTGGTTTCTCACTGAACACTAATATTATCTTCTCCTACCACCCCCATTCTTTTGTATGTACACATATATATTTGTTTTATTTGAACTTTGTTACAAAAAAGGAATTACATATAGGGTACAAAGATGGTTATCATAAGTTGTCGAGTTCCTCCAGCTCCTCAGATGGCGGGCAGGATTCCATATATATATATATATATATATATATATATATATATATATATATATATATATATATATATATATATATATATATATATATATATATATATATATAATGTATGTATTTGCAAAACGTACCGAATATCGTTAAAAAAATCATATTTTTCCAACATTTTAACTTGTGGAATGATAGGAATGTTTGAATGCGCAAGATAAACTTCTTTTGTTTTAGGCTGACCGAAAAGCCTGACCAGCCTGACCTAAGCTAAATACGGCAATTATGCTCCAATACTGCTTAACAATGGTCAAACTTGGCCCAATTAAATGAGTAATTCAAGTAGTCAATAATAAATAATAAGCCTTCAGGCCGTGTTTGTAGTTTGTGTACGTGTGTGTACACGGGTTTCAGTACACGTGTGTGTGTGTGTATGTGTACACGGGTTTCAGGACACGTGTGCGCGCGTACACGGGCTTCATCTTGCTAGTCCTAGCACCCCCTCTCCAAGCCTATTCTTTTAAAACACAAGAAACGACAAAGAGGGGCGCGAGAAAATATTCAACAATAAATGTATTCGTTATCCTTTTAATACCACATTAATTAAAAGAGCCTGAAGGCTCCCGTCCACTAAACGTCAGAATGTTATCTTGGTTCATTATAATATCTTCAGGGGTGCTATCGTCTCTCTTAATTACAGTAGCCGGTGTCCGGCGCCTTCCTCACTGACGGCCTGGTCGAGGACCGGGCCGCGGGGACACTAAAGCCCCGAAATCATCTCAAGATAACCTCAAGAGATAACCTGACGTCACCAGGACTACGAGGTAGCGAGTGTGAGGCCAGTTGAGTTTATCACACCATTATAACGGGGGAATTTCAACTCGGCCAGAGAAGTAAACAGACGCACATGACCGCATTCACTGTTGCAATCGCCACTCACTGCCGGCTGCAATGACTTCCGTGGTTTTCCAGCACACCACCACACTCAGCACTGTAAACGGCACATCACAGGTAAGGTCGGACTTTAAAAGTCCATATTTGCGTGATGTCACAAGCACCTTTTTCTCTCCCTCTCTCTCAAATTCACCTGGGAGGGAGCGCAGTACACCAGCCTCCGCTCAGGCTCGAGGTCAAACACACACTGGGCAAGTTTGTCTCGTCCCACGCGGCTCACACGGTCGCGACCCTCTTGCTCTCGACTTCCAAATTTAACTCGCTTATTTTTTTTTTTAAACAATTCTACAACACTTTAGAAAATTATGACCCGACGAATTATCATTTTGAAACAATTAACGTCAACATGAATTGTGTAAACACCACCTCTCTCACGTTTCACTAACAATTCATACCTAAACCTAACATCTTGTGTTGGGTTGGCAGGTAGTTATTTTCATACGATATTTTCAACAATTTACAACACTAACTTACACAATCATTTTCCTGCCAGGGTGTTAACCTTCTAACACCGATATAATAACAAACACCTCTTAAGTCAAGGTAGGAGACAGAGCTATAGATGAGCAAGCCGGAGGCATTTAGCAAGTTGTCCTGACGGGAGGGATATATAGGCTTGGGACGAGACGAAGCTGTCCCCCCCATATCAACAGACGGGTCCTCGTCTCCTCCTGTCAGCTGACAGATTCACGCTTCACTCACTCACTCACTCACTCGTCCAGTTGTGTAGAAATCCTCTGTTTAGGAATATGAGATGAGCCAACTTATCGTCAGTTGAAGAATCGCAGATGTGCTAACTTTATTTTCAAGAATATGTGATGTGATTACGGGCTCACCATAGCCAGTGCTACATGGACACTTCCTTCTTAGCTAAATCTGAAAACAACATGTGATGTCCTAACTTTATCTTCAAGAATATGAGATGTCTACACTTGGCTATCCATACATATTTACACCTGGTTATCCATACATTTTTACACTTGACTATCCAATAGAAAATAAAAATACTCGTTCAGATGCTGAATAACATTTTCAACGTAACTATTTGTACTACAAGATCTATACTTAAGGCCCGACATGCAAATGGGTTTGACGGCAAAAACCACTAAAAATGCAAATAACAATAATTATGTATTGGCGCAGACAGTCTGCGTGGGGAGAGGCGGTCATGCACTCCTGCTTGTCCTCCGCGACGCTGCTCTTCGATATCTGGGTGTCTGCTGAGGCCCTCCGTCGCCTTCAGCAGTGTCTGCTGAGGCCCTCCGTCACCCCTCAGCAGTGTTTGGGTGTCTGCTGGCCCCTCCGTCGCCTTCAGCAGTGTCTGCTGAGGCCCTCCGTCGCCCTCAGCAGTGTCTGGGTGTCTGCTGGGCCCTCCGTCACCCTCGCCGTGGGCGTCGCAGCGTCTAGGATGCCGTCCAATTTTCAACACGGTCTCGCTCTCTCATTGTGTATGATGACCGAACCACCACGGCCCCTCAGACCAAAGGGTTAAGACATTCTCTCGGCTAGCCAGAGAGCCTAATCGTGGGTGTTTGGGGTTCGGATCCCGGCAAACACACACACACACACACACGCACACACACACACGCGCGGGGCCTGGTAGCCTGGTGGATAGCGCGCAGGACTCGTAATTCTGCGGCGCGGGTTCGATTCTCGCACCAGGCAGAAACAAATGGACAAAGTTTTTTTCACCCTGAATGCCCTTGTTACCTAGCAATAAATAGGTACCTGGGAGTTAGTCAGCTGTCATGGGCTGCTTCCTGGGGTGTGTGTGTGTGTGTGGGGGGGGGGGGGGGGGAAGTAGTTAGTAAACAGTTCATTGACAGTTGAGAGGCGGGCCGAAAGAGCGAAGCTCAACCCCACAAACGCAACTAGGTGAATACACACACACACACACACACACACCAATAATGACCTCAGCGCCCTCTGTGGTGTATCACGGGACCGCAGACATGCCATCCCTGCCACAGACATTAATGATGATACATATGACTGTATTTATCTAATACGACCTCTTAAGAGTGGGTGTAACAGCGAAGACCTTGCTTCTTGCCGGTCCGCGTTCGATCCCCCGATGATCTAAGTGGCTGGGAACATCGCTCCTTCCCTCCGTTCACATATCCCAGCTGCTTACCCTGTCTTAATATCCACCCCCCCCCCCCCTTCAGGGGCAATATGTAGTCATACTGGCTTAGTGCTTTCTCCTGATAATTATCGTATCTTACATAATAAATAACACAACGCGAAAGATTTGTTACATCACCGCATACAACATATACAACTATTGTATGACGGTTGTATCTTCTCAAATATGCAACAGCCGTCGGCCAAACACAATCCGACAGATATTAAATATAATTTAACCATATACAAACAACCCAACATCAATGGTGTCGTTAAATCGTAAACATTTAAACACCTGTGACTAACACTGTTCACCGCTCATTATTTAACGACGCTCCACCACACCACCTGGCGGGGACGTCCCCGAACCTCTCTCTCCCAGGAGCTCCACATAGACGCAACCACATCAGCGGCATGAGCAAGTTGGTGAGCATCGTGACTTGCTTTCATGAACCCCAGACAAGAATGTTTTCAGGACGCTGTGTACAGCAATACGTCCAAGGCGCGGCTAGAGTGAGCAGCACCAGCCTGGAGCCCCACACCGAAAAGCACAATAAGATTGATAATTAAAAGTAAAGTCAACCTGAGTTGAATTTAATACCTGGTAGAAGGGATAAATAGAGGGTGTCCACTGGATCTAACCAGTAACTGGATGGGTGACCGAGCGATATACCACCCCCCTACTAGCCCCTTGGCTAGGGGGGGGGGGTTATATATCGGTTAGCCAAATAGGTATCCTGTCTCCCGATAACAGATGTGCGACAGTTGGAGAGGCCGGCCCAGGCGCTGAAGCTTTACTTCTCCGAACTGTGTTCTGTAAATCCCCGCCCGGGAGGTGAGCACACGCCCAACACTCAGCATACCTGACAGCATGCAAATCGGCGTTAATTCTGATCCGACAAATATTTAGGAGAACACGAGCCTTGTGAAAGGTATTTCTTTATGAATGTCACCCAGCGTGGCCCCTGAGCATGTCACCCAGCGGGGCCCTTGAGCATGTCACCCAGCGGGGCCTCTGAGCATGTCACTCAGCGGGGCCCCTGAGCATGTTACCCAGCGGGGGCCCTGAGCATGTCACCCAGCTGGGGCCCTGAGCATGTCACCCATCTGGGGCCCTGAGCATGTCACCCAGCGGGGCCCCTGAGCATGTCACCCAGCGGGGCCCTTGAGCATGTCACCCAGCGGGGCCCCTGAGCATGTCACCCAGCGTGGCCCCTGAGCATGTTACCCAGCGGGGGCCCTGAGCATGTCACCCAGCTGGGGCCCTGAGCATGTCACCCATCTGGGGCCCTGAGCATGTCACCCAGCGGGCCCGTCTCGTTTAAAACACGTGCAGCGGATCACCAGAACAAAACGGGTCAAAACAAGCTACAGGATCAAATGCAGCCGTAATGACACATATAAGAAGCGAGTCATTCAATTACACGACCGATAGCCGGAGAGGCGGGGCTCAGGAGACGAAACTAAACCCACAAAAAAGCCCTTACAGTTGAGTACAAAAAGGCATAGCAACTCCCGGTAATAAAAGCCTCACTGACAGGCCAACACGCCCACACGCCCACAGTCAGGTAGGAGACGTGGTCACCACGCCCACACGCCCACAGTCCCGCAGGAGACGTGACAGGTCACCACGCACAGTCAGGCAGGAGACGTGCCGGCGAGCAAGTGGGACAACTTACCTACATGAATGATACACATACACGCAGCCACAAAGCTCACCGCGTGTATCATACACACACGCGCCACCACTCGCTGTTTGGGGCCTGAATGACGTATTAGTGGTTCACGATGTGTGTTAGGTTGGTGTATGGAACATGACGTGGTTCTGTATGATTCGTGTAGTGTATGATCTATAGTTGGTGGTGTATCATGTTCATTTTATCGGTGTATGCTGTATTTGCTTCGTCTCTACACTACTACCACATCAAATACAACAACTACCGCAATACAACGATACATCCGTCAGACAGAACCTCTTCAGGATAAGCAAGACAACACAAGAGGAGCCAGTAGCCTAGGCCGGCGCACTCTGGTTTCTTGTGGAGTGCATAAATGCCAAGGTGACATAGACCGCATGAACCCATAACCACGGGCCCCTGTGGGCGTTCGCAGTGCCACGCTCCCGGTGGAACGTACACCACCTTATTCCTCCAAGGAGTGCCGGAACAACCGGGCTGTGGTGGGTATGTGGGTCTGCGGGCCGCTGCAAGCAACAGCCTGGTGGACCAAACTCTCACAAGTCAAGCGTGGCCTCGGGCCGGGCTTGGGGAGTAGAAGAACTCCCAGAACCCCATCAACCAGGTATCAACCAGGTACCTTCTGGCTGGCTCCCGGTGGAACGTACACCACCTCCTGGCTGGCTCCCGGTGGAACGTACACCACCTCCTGGCTGGCTCCCGGTGGAACGTACACCACCTCCTGGCTGGCTCCCGGTGGAACGTACACCACCTCCTGGCTGGCTCCCGGTGGAACGTACACCACCTCCTGGCTGGCTCCCGGTGGAACGTACACCACCTCCTGGCTGGCTCCCGGTGGAACGTACACCACCTCCTGGCTGGCTCCCGGTGGAACGAACACCACCTTCTGGCTGGCTCCCGGTGGAACGTACACCACCTTCTGGCTGGCTCCCGGTGGAACGTACACCACCTCCTGGCTGGCTCCCGGTGGAACGAACACCACCTTCTGGCTGGCTCCCGTGGAATGTACACCACCTCCTGGCTGGCTCCCGGTGGAACGTACACCACATCCTGGCTGGCTCCCGGTGGAACGTACACCACCTCCTGGCTGGCTCCCGGTGGAACGCACTCCACCTCCTGGCTGGCTCCCAGTGGAACGTACACCACCTTCTGGCTGGCTCCCGGTGGAACGTACACCACCTTCTGGCTGGCTCCCGGTGGAACGTACACCACCTCCTGGCTGGCTCCCGGTGGAACGAACACCACCTTCTGGCTGGCTCCTGTGGAATGTACACCACCTCCTGGCTGGCTCCCGGTGGAACGTACACCACCTCCTGGCTGGCTCCTGTGGAATGTACACCACCTCCTGGCTGGCTCCCGGTGGAACGTACACC